CATTTGGGAAGTGGTCGATGTTGGCTTCCAGCTTGAGTCGGATCTTCACAACCCAGTCTTCAAAAGCTGGTTCAATCCCATCCGTAAGAATAGGAGGATCCGGAATGCGAGCAGACTGGCGAGGTGCTGCATTGCGAATAGGAGCTGTATTCTCAAGATATTTTTGAATGCCTTGCAGTTCAGTAATCTTTTCATCCTTGTCTTGATTTCTTCTTGGAGCTGTAGAATAGCATCATTTCGCTCTGCAATAGTAGCATCAGAAGCTTGACCGATGATGAGGTAGTCCTTCATAATGGCTTTCAACATTGACCAGGCGTACTCTTGGCTGCTAGGTGACAGCTTTTGGAATTCAGTGTAGGTGTTGACATTCCAATTCCTCATCTGGTGGCCATTTGATAGTATAGACTGGTGTCTTTCTTGAGCTGTTTTGCCCATCCTCTTGAAATCTTCTTGGGCTTCGAGGAAGTCATCTTGAAGTTCATCTCTCTTCTCAGACTCATCTGCCAAGGTTGTTTTCTCATTTATAGACTCATAGTCTTCTGGGTTTCGGTCAGCCATCTTGGCTTTTTCTTTGGCCTGCCAAAAGGATGATACAAATTTGGGTCCGCGGTCACTTACAATTGACTCCGGAGTGTGTCCGAATCGGTATATCCATTCGATGAACAATTGTGCCATTTTCCGGGCAGTTGTGATTTTGTAGCAAGGTATGGTTACCAAACTCTTTCCGAGTCGGTCCATAAACACCAAGATGCTGTCGTATCCATGCTTGTCCCTTGGGAACTCCTTGAAGTCCATGGTGAGGTGTTGCATAGGATATTCGGGTACGGGCAGCGGGTGTAGGAATCCTTGTTGCTTAGTGACATTGGTGTGAGAAAGCCGGCATGTTACACAGTTTCATACATACCGTAAACAGTCCGCTTCCATCCCGACCCAATGATACTTTGGAGCGAGCAATTGTTAGGTTTTCCTTCCACTTGGATGTGCTGACGACACTTGGTCATGCGCTTCTCGGATCAGTTTCGTAAATAGGTCAGTGTGGCGATTCACACATAGGCGGCCTTTGTACAGGAGGAGCTGGTCGTTCATCGTGAATCCATCCGGTAGGGGTTGTTTCGCACGAGTCTCGGTAAACGACTTTTGATTGTCTGCACATAGCACCTCTATTAAATTGAAAGGCATCTGGGGCTTGGAGGTGCCATCGAATTAATGGATGCTATGTAGCTCTCAGCAAGTTCGGTGCTTATGTGGGGGTGCAGACGGCTTGGACCTAACAATACCCTCACCCTACATCAAGCTTGACTTTCTGCTGCGTTACCAAGTCTTGGTCTCTTCAGCTTAGTGTAATGGTGGGTGCACCAGATGTGAGAATCTAGCCACCCAAGGAAGGCATGAATTTACTAAGACAACACACTGTCTTAGAAAACAGAGCCAAAGGGTCGTAGCTTAGACTATTCCACAACGCAGCAATCAGGTGTGTGATGTAGTGAAGTGGTTCAGACAAGTTGCAACAAATGTTGAGTCTGGGAACTCAGGGGTAAGTCAGAGGTTAACACCTCACTGACTTTTCAGAAACAAGGAGTAACAAGATGAATGCTTGGAAGCTTGGAAAAGACATGGAAGTATGTGATAGTCGATTTACTGTATTGTCTGCTTGCCCTTTCTTAAGGAAAGGGCAATCCTATTTATGCTAAAGGAGTGTAGTTCTCTCATATTCCAAGACTTTCCATGACTTACCAGGCTTTGTAACTGTAGTCGACGTAAGAGAATCCCATAGAACCATCTCTTAGGTTCGTAGCCTATAGGAAGTAAAAGGAGGTCCAAGGTCAGAGTACCCCTATAGACAAATTATGTCATAGACAAATTATGTCATAGACAAATTATGTCATAGACAAATTATGTCATAACTTAACCAATCTTGTGGGTAACTAAAGAGCGATGACATGTAATGAATCATAGAGGTTCGTAGCTATCGTTCATGCTCCTAGGCCTCTAGTTGGTAGAGATATGTCATGTGGTAGTATGAGTGATGTCATGTAATGAATCATAGAGGGTTGTAGAGATATGCTATGTGGTAATATCGGCCCAGTAACTAAGGAGCGATGACGTGTAATGAATCATAGATGGTTGTAGCAATCGTTGAGTAGTATTGCTCTTGTTGTTGGTGTGATAAGCCAAAATATGTATAGTGACTTGTAGGTTTGAGGAGGAGATTTCCAAGTTTGCTCTTGAGTTTGAAGCAAACTGAGTGCAACGAATGTCAGTATGACACTTAGAATATCTGCCTTCTGGTTATTCTTGCCCGCGGTGTACGTAATGCAGAAGTTGAAGTTGGAGAGTAGTTCCATCCACTGAACCTGCTTCACGGTGAGAACTTTAGTTGACATGAAGTATTCCAGCGAGCGGTGATCAGTGTAGACATCGACTTGGTGTTGTACCGAGGCCAACTCGGGCCTCCATTTTGCGAAGGCTTCACAATTGCGAATAGTTCCTTGTCGTGGATCTCCCAGTTGATCTCATGTCCGGATAGACGTGACTGTAGAAGCTTACGGGGTACCATCACTTGTCAGGGTGTTCTTGGGACAGGACACTGGCTACGACCCCATCGCAGGAGTCTGTTTCCAGCTTCGTAGGCAATTCGGGGTTGAAGTGGTGAAGTGCCTGTACAGTTAGGAGTTATCACCGCAACTCTTTGAAAGCAGCCTCGCATTCAGCTGTCCACAGGAACGGCTCCGAAGGACTAGTGATAGTAGTGAGGGGCTTGGCTGTCACGGTTCACCAAGGCATAGGGCGCCAGTTGGGTATTATGAATTAAACTCAATCTAGAGAAGAAAGGAAAGAGAAGAGGAGCACTCGAGCAGTGGCTCGATCTATATACAGCTATGTTGTTGTGGAGTGAATTCTCTTTAGCGAGACCAGTTCTGAGAATTCACTCCACAACTGAAAACTTCGCTCCAACCCCGGAAAGCTCCCCACACCCCTGAACCCCCACTCGAGCTGCAAGGCGCACTTGATATCGTAACATTGGCTATCTTGCTGAAATCCCGAATGAATTGTCGGTAGAACCCACAGAATCCTAGGTAGGATTTCACACCCGTAACCGTGGTCGGTCGGATCCAGTTATGAAGTGGTTCAATTTTGTCAGGGTCTGCTTCGACACCGGAAGTAGTCAGGATGTATCCTAAGTACTTGGTCCTAGTAACGTTAAACTCGCATTTTTGTATATCTGCCTGGAGTCCAGCTTCTTGTAGACGCTGTAGGACCTTATGCACATGCTCTATGTGTTCCGTAGGGTCCTCTGAATAGATTAGGATGTCGTCTAAGTATGCGGTACAGAAATCATCTAAATATTGCATCAGGACGTCATTCATATACCGCTGATAGGTTGCGGGACCATTCGTCAGGCCAAACGGCAACACTTTGCATTTGTAAGTTCCATAGCGAGTCTGAAAGGTAGTGTACTCTTCTGAGTCGGGGTGCATCCGTATACGATGGAAGGCTTGTCTAATATCTAGCTTCGTGAAGATTTTGGCTTTCGACAGCCGTCCTAGTAGTTCGTTGATACACGGGATGGGGTAGGGATCATTCCGGGTGAGGCCATTTAACTTCCGGTAATCGATGCAAAATCTTAATTTGCCATCCGCTTTCTTTACGAATAAGATAGGGGACGCGAAGGGGCTGTTGCTGTTGACGATGAATCCCTTTTCCAGGTTTTCCAGCAGGTATTGCTTGGTAGCCTTAAGCTCTTCGGTGCCTTGTCGGTATAGCGGGGAGAAGGCGTTTGGTAAAGGAGCTTCGAGCTGTATCTTATGGTCATATATGCGGTGCAGAGGGATCCGGTCTGATTCCGACTTTGAAAAGACATCGGCAGAGCTTCGGTGCATATGCGGGAGTTTCTGTTGGATGAGGTGAAGTGTTTCTGCATCCTCATCCAATTCCTTTTCATGAATGATCTGATCGATTTCGTAGATGCTAGTCTGAAAAAACTCGGAGTCGCTTCGCATAATCTCGTGGTGGAAAGCATTTGCACTGATTTGCATATATGCATGGGCGTAAACCTATGTACTAGGGTTTTCTGCGGTGGGGGAGAAACCTCCTGGTTTCGTAATTTCCCTTGTCATGTCATAGGTGAACTCACGAAAATCACGAAGATCACAACTTTTCAAAGCCTCGATTCCAACTCATTCTATATTGCCTATTTAGGCCTTACAGTGGACTACAGTAAGCACTAAACAGGGTTACTGCTAAAGCGCTCTACTATCCCCCCCCCTGAATGATTGTCACCATCTACTATTTTGTCAAAAGGCCTCTGCCAGTGATCTCATCTTATTTACGCCTTTTTACCTAAACCGATCGCTATAAGTGGGTTTCCACAAACTTCAAAATAGGGGGTCGTTACAATCATTCAGGGGGGGGGATAGTATTACGATCACCCCGATGCCAATCCACCCCGAGTCCCAAATGGAGAATCCGACGGGTAGCCTGGGAAAATCCCAATTTCCTGGGCCTAAAGTGCCCGTATTCCCCAGGCTCCGGCATCTTTCTCCAACAGCCACGGCGTTTCTGGCCGTCACGTGCTCGTGGGGGCCGAGCTTACAACAATTTCTGGCCTTGATGGGGCGAGAAACATCACTGGTTAGAGCACATGGCGTCTCGAGTATCACAGCGCAGCTTCCCCAGTCTTCACACCCGCATTCTCACCACCTCATATCTTACCCCCTCTGCTTTTTGCAATACAATATATATACAACAAACAATGCCCCTCTCCCTCCCCCGCTTCAAATCCTCACACCCCCTCCCCCACCATCTAAAAAGCCAAAAACCCTCTTCATCCTTGACTCCTCTTTCAACCCCCCAACAACTGCGCACCTGCATCTCGTGCGCTCAGCAATTTCTCACAGGATGAGGGGAGGTACCCACATCCACGGCGCGAGTTACTCTTGCTAGCGACGACGAACGCAGATAAACCCAATGTCGAAGCGGGGCGGGAGGATAGGGTGACGATGATGCGAGTGTTGGCTGGGGATGTGGTTGGGAACCAGGGCGCGAGGGAGGAAAGGAAGGGGGAGGGTGTCAACATCGCCCTCACGCCCCACGCCCTCTTCATTGACAAAGCGCGCCTTATCGCAGAAGAACCGACGTATGAGGGTGCGAAGAAAGTCTTCATCCTCGGTTTCGACACGCTCAAACGGCTGCTGGAGGTGCGGTACTACGATCCCCCTAGTTTATCGGGGTTAGGGCCACTGTTTGAGGGGGGCGTGAGGGTGCATTTGCGCGCTGGGGGGGAGGAGGAAGAGGGGGAGCAGAGGAGGTGGATTGAGAGTCTGGGAGGTGGGGGAGATGGAGAGGAATGGGGGGAGGAGGGAATGGGTGGGGGGATGGAGGTGGTGGAAGCTAGCGGGGGGGAGGTAAGTTCGAGTGAGGTTAGGAGGAGGGTGAAGGCGGGGGAGACGGTGGCGGGGTTGTTACGGAGGGGGTGGAGGATGTTATTGGGAGGAAGGGGTTGTATAGGGGGTAGAGGGGAAGAGAGGAGGGAGTATTTAAAAGGTGTATATGGGAAGGGAGCCGAGGGGGTGAGAGGGAGTTATAGATAGGGAAAGAGCGCCGCATAGGAGCGAATGATGTACTTATGAAAAGCGCTTGGGAGATAATCAAAAGGGGGGCAGTTGACCAGTGGAGCCAACTATCACTGATTATCCTGTAGGTGTGCACCACATCAAACCATGAAACCGCGATGAGCCGTATCGCCGTGTTCGTAGGCTATAACTCGTGCTGGCTGTCCTCTGCGGTGTATACTGGGCAGTACTTTGTACACGATGATCCCATCCAGCTTTGCAGAGAATTGATGGCAGACGCAGAAGTGACGAGAGAAGTGATAAAAAATATGGATGCACGAGGTTGTTCGCACAGAAGTAGTATTAGCTCACGGACAACTTCAAGTGCTTAACGTCTCAATTCTAAAAAGGCAGAGCGAGCAGCGGAGAAAGAGGCTTCTAAAGAAGCCTGGATAGCCCGTTAGGCTACTAACCAGGCCCGCAAGCAGCTCTATAGGGCAGGAGTTGAAGCCCGGAAGCAAGAACGCCTCCGGAAGAAGAGGGTAAAAGCCTGTCAAAAAGCTGGCAAGCCAATTCCTGTAGAGAACCAAGACCCAATTCCGGATCCAGAGGCAGAGAGCGAAAGTGAGAGTGGGAGTGGGAGTGGAGTGGGAGTGGGAGCGAATTTGAGTGGCATGGATATGAGAATTACGAGTAGTTGTTCAATTGAAGTAAGTTATCTTTTTATATAAATTACTATGTAATGGTACCTACAAATTTTTGTGGTTGCGAACGGCGTTTGCTTCCGCGAACGCTCTTTGCTTACCCCGACCCTATTGCATAGGGTCGGTCCCGACGATTACCCCACTAAAATCTAAATTAATTGACCCGTCGATTTAAGGTTTGGCACAAGGCCTCCAACCTCAACCCCACCAACCTCGACCCCACCAACACTCCCCAGCACTATGACAACAAGATAGCTTCAAGAAACCCCTAGCTATATCCGCCGGAGCCCATCCAGTTCCCAAAAATGGATGCCGCAGAGGACGACAGAGATATTAAGCTCCAAAAGCTAAGCTCCACCTTCATCGCCGACTTCGAACTCTTTCTTCACCCCTTTCTCTACCGCACCACGGCAGATGGCACCCCAAAGGTCCGCCGCAACGTGCGCGCGCGCGAAGCTGACCGCCTCGCCGGCCTGGTAACCCCCCTTCACCCACCAAGCTATCCCCAGCTAGCTGACTCTTGTATCTAGCTTGAGCCCTTCCAAGAGCTCCCCCAGCTGCTTGACCTGCACCTGGGCCGCTTCCTGCCCGTGCTAGCGGACGCACTACTGGTATACTTGCGCGCACCGCTGCGGAAGAAGGGCGCGAAGCGTCCACAGCTCGTGACGTTTCTCAGGCGATTTGCAGGCTGCTGTATACGTTTTGTAAGATCCGGGGAGAGAAGGTCGTGGTAAGGTTCATTGGGGCAGAGACGAAGAATCTGGAGTTGCTGCTTAATGCTGTTGAGAAGGCTGAGGGGGCCAAGGATGCAGGGGAGGGAGAGAAAGAGAGAAAGAGTGGACGTGGGAGGAAAGGTACATTTGCTTGCTGTGGCTGTCGCATCTACTGTTGGCGCCATTTGATTTATCAACCATTTCGTCAGCGGGCACAGGGGACGTGAAGAGGCCGGAGAAGCTTCCAAGCGTGGCAGAGCGGGCCATCCCGCTGGCGATCAAGTATCTGGGAGCGGCAGGGAAAGAGAGGGACGCGGCGAAGGCGCTACTGGTGCGAATTTCTATGAGGCGGGATATGCAAGCGCTAGGGCTATTAGATGCGCTTGTACAGTGGGCGATGGCGTGTCTGAAGTCATCAACAACGTTGGCGTCGAACTCATCATACTACTACATTGGAGTGCTTTCTTATCTAGCCGGGATCTTGATCTCGTCGCTCAGCACGGCGGATATGGATTCATACCTCCTTAAGGTCTTCTGCACGGTGCAGAATATCTCGGATGAGGAGAATGTTGCATTCAAGACTGTCCATGCATCTGCGAATTCGAGGAAGACTGTCATCAAGGTTCTTCGAACCATTGCCGTCTTGGCACTTAGGAGGGAATACTCATCCAAGGGGAACGAGGTGATCACGAACGAGATCGTCGAGTCAACAGTTGGCTATCTCCTGGACGCCCTGGCCGACAACGACACCCCGGTTCGCCTGGCAGCCAGTAAAGCCCTCTCAGTCATAACACTCAAGCTCGCCCCTGACTTGGCTTCCCAAGTCGTCGCCACCGTCCTCGACTCACTCACTACCAACATTCTCTGGGCCACCCTCCCCGACGGTACAAAGACCCAGGACCTCACCGCTGTCAACCCCCAGGAATGGCAGGGACTCATCCTAACCCTCTCCCACCTTCTCTACCGAAAATCCCCACCCCCCGACTCCCTCGCCCTCATCCTCCACGCCCTCCTCACCGGTCTCACCTTCGAGCGTCGCTCCACCTCTGGCAGCTCAGTCGGCACTAACGTCCGTGACGCAGCCTGCTTCGGCATCTGGGCCCTCGCGCGCCGCTACACTACCCGCGAACTACAGGATGTCGTTACCGCCGAGGTTGGCGCTGCCACAGCTCACACCGGAGAAAAATCAATAATCCAGATCCTGGCCACCGAGCTTGTCATCGCCGCCTCCTATGATTCGCGGTGCATCAGCCGCACTACAGGAGTTGATTGGACGACACCCGGATCTTGTCACGGAGGGCATTGCGGTCGTACAGGTAGTGGATTACCACGCTGTTGCGTTACGGTCGAGGGCTATCCTCGAGGTTGCACCTGCAGCGGCTCGGCTGGGGGATTGTTATGCTCAGGCGCTTATGAGGGCGTTGTTTGGGTGGCGCGGGGTAGGGAGTGGGGATGCAAAGTCGAGAAGGACGGTGGCCGGGGGTGTAGGGGAACTGGTGAAGTTGTTCGGTGGGAGTGGGAAAGAGAAGCCGTGGCGGAGAGTTCGGGGGTTGGTTTCGACAGACAGTTGGGGAATCTGAAGGCCAGGGCTATAGATGAGAAGCATGGGTTGGTGATGGTGATGGCTTCAGCTGCTATGACGCTTCCTGCGCTTTTGGGCGCCGATTCTGCGAAAGATTGGGAGGATTTACTGGATGCGGTAAAGGCGATTTTACGAGTGGTTTTATCGACACTGAAGAGTGCTATGGCAGCGACATCTCGGAGACCTGAACTTGGCCTTGAGGCTACATGCAGGCTGATTGTGGCTGCGTGCCCGATTATTAGAATGGAAAGGGTGCTTGACCCCATGAAGCGCCGCTCTGATGCTGCTATAGATACAGTAGCTTGGAGAAGATTCTACGCAACGAAGCCGCCCCAATATATACCCCAGACGACTCGTTCGACTCAATCGAGGTTCGAGAGATCGTCGAAGCCTCGGGATCCCTCATTGACGCCTCCCTCCGCCTCACCGACCGTGACACTATCGAAGCCGCTGTTGCCGCCGCAACAAGCCTAACTCTTATCATCCCCACCACCGCCAGCGAATCTCTCGTCCACTCCTGGGCCGTCGCCGTCACAGACCATTCAAGTCGTACCCGCCACCCAGGCTACCTCTTTGTTCTCGCCAGCGTCTTCACCCACACCCAGTCGCAAGACGCGATCTGTGCTCTCATCCTGAGTCAGTGGCAACAGGCAACGAACATCGTGGACCATGTCTCCATCTTGCAGTGCCTCAACCGCGCGCAGATATTGGATTCCCACACTGCGCGCTTCATCCCATTGATTTCTGAGGGGCTGGACGACTATACGACCGATGCCCGTGGGGATATCGGGTCCCTTGCGCGCATTGAAGCGCTGAAGGCGACGAGTAAGGCTTTTGCTACGATTCCGTGTGATACTGTGGTACTGGATGGCAATGAAGGCTGGTTTGCCGATGAGGACCTCTTCGGCCCCCTCTACAGTCGCACGCTGCGCCTCGCAGCAGAGAAACTTGACAAAGTCCGTGGCGAAGCACAAACTGCGCTGGTCATCCTAATCCAGGACCCCATGTATGTTTCCCCGTTCCCCTCTTAACCGCAAACTTGAAACTAACCCCTCATAGCCAACACGCCGCTTTCACTTCCGCCCAGCACGCAACCCGCATCTACTTCCGTCACCTCCTCGACCTCCAACTCCTCTCATCCACCTCATGGCTCTCCACCAGCCCCCTCCACCCTCACCAGCGCTGGACCTCCCACCTCTTCGACGGCTACGCCAGTGCAGCCGACTCTGGCGCAGAAGGCCTCATCCGCGCCTCCCGTGCCGCCCTAAATGACTTCTGCTTCACTGCCCCCGCCAACCGTGAATAGTCTGCAACGCGCTAGTCGGGTCAGTGAAGCGCCTCCATGACGCTGGGGACGAGAGGGTGCTGCTACCTACGATGTCTGTTGTTGCGTTTCTATTTGATGCGGGGATTTTGGAGGGGGGGCATAGAGGATTGAGGGGATTGTTTTTAGCGACGCAGCGAGCGCATTTTAAGAGCGGGAGTGTGAGGAAGTTGGAAGTTGCTGTGAGGGTTTATGGAGGGTTATTGGGGGTTGGGCAGGAGGAGAGGGAGGTGGAGAAGGTGTTGGTGAGGAAGGCGGTGGAGGATGTGTTGTGGGTTCGTAGGGGAGTGGGGAAGGGTGAGGTGGGGGTTCAGGGGGTGAGGAAGGCCTTGGAGGAGAGATGGGAGGGTGGTGGTGAATGATTCTGGGGTTATATTCGGGAAGGTGTATAAAATTGGCGCAACCAATATATAGCGCTGCTTAGCTAACCCAATTTGCTCTTGTCCGCCGTAAGGCACGTCAGAAACCCATACGGTTTACCGAACCAATCTTCCCAGCCCATCTTTCCCGAGGACCAGAATCCCTCAAGAGCGTATTTTCAAACGGACGCCGCCGCGCAGCATCCGTTCGTGTGCGACTCCCGTCGGCTCTCCAGACAATGCTGAAGGTTCGTAGCCGGCACCACGGACAGGTTTTGCCGGCCGACCTCTCGGGAAGATTCCGTCCTCAAGGCCAGGGGCGTTTAAATTCCGCCCCCAAGACCCCTATAATAATATTAGCCCATTCTCTAATAGTCGAAATTAAAGGTTGCAGCGGCGCTGAAATTCCGTGGAGCGCGGGCGCGCTGTTCCATGACGAGTGTCTCCAGTAATTCGACCATCCGATCATCCACTTCGGCACGGCCTCGTCCCTGGAGAACAAGTCGGTGGAGGTCCTTCGCTATCAACCGTTGCGTCCGGTCCTTTTTTACCTGCCTGGCGGTGGGCTTGGAGGGATCACGGGTAACAGTTGTCTGAACGATTGTCGTAGGGCGAAGTGCTTTGGCCGTCTCACCGTTAGGCCGAAAGAGCGCCCAGGTTTGGAAAAGAACGTGGGGTGTCGCAAAAAATCCGAGGACCAGGGCGACGGCGGCGGTGGTGGTGTCAACTATGTCCCGAACGGGCCACATTACGAGCGAGGGTGTGTGGATGAGAAGCGAGCGTGTTGTAAACTAACGTGCGCGAAGAGGAGAAGAGAAGGGAAAAGGGAAAAGGGAGATCCAAAACAAAACGGGGATATATATGGCACGATGGCATAGCATTTTAGGAAAGAGCAATGGAGAGATGATAATGTGCATTAGTTGTAGAAAGCATAACTCATAGCATCGTGGCTTCCTCACTTAGAATTTAGGGACGAGCCTGCCGTTTCTAACCACATAACCTATTTTAACTTCTTTACCTAATACGGTAACATTAATGGGCCATGACCAATGGCTCAGCATGCGTAACTCCTTCTTATCCTTCTCGGTCAGGAGGGAATCAAACTTAAATTCGGTGTTCTGCTCAAAGGCGGCACAGATGGAACCTCGCTGATACGTGACTTTTTTCCGCCGTTCAGAACCATTGAGTCGAATTCTCCGCTTAAAGTCATTTGCATCTCGTCCCTGTCCTAAGTCCATCCATTGCGTGATAAACAGCGCGTTTCCTGCCTCCCCATAGCTCTTAAAATCAACTCTAAACTCGGTGTGACAATGCTGGCAATATATGATACCTTGCTTGTTCTCATATCCGTCAATTTCGTCAGCTTGCGGGACCCGAATCCCCCACCAGTATAGGTCTGACATCTCCGTAAGGGCTATATGACGACAGATTCCAAAACCACCACTCCATGGGAGAGGAGTTTTCTCTGAAGGTGGAATCATGAACACCTTCTGCTCACGAACGAAAAGCGAGCCGTCGCAAATCGAGCCGTCGCAAATCCGCGCTTCAGCCGTATGGAGTTCCACAAAGCCTATCTGATATTTATCCATATTTCTATAGGACAGTAGGCGTAGAAGAGTGGTAGTGTCTTTGCCTTGTCTGTGGGATTTCATAGCCATACGGAAGATGGTCGAAGAGAATCCGCCTGGAATTCCGCCAACGTAATGGCCTTTTGAATCCGCAATTCGACACTTCAACGAATCCCCGCTAGGGGACGAATATAATTCGGACGCTAGGTGACGTTCGGCAAAGGGCATATAATGTAGCTTATTACATTCCGGGCAGACGATATAAGCTGGTAAATCTCGTTCTAGTAAACAGAGGAATCTGTTCATAACAGAGTATTCAGCTTCTTTAAGAGGCTGTAAATACTTCATCTTAAGGCATGAATAAAGATGAAGACACGATAGACTTAAACTTCCTACTGATTCGAGCGGTAGAGAGCTTGCTATGTGGCAAATGAGTTCTAGTGGGAGCTCCCGGAAAGGCGATGATCCCAGTGCGTTCGGTCGAGCTATGGGGACAGCTGGCTCCGTTTTGGATAGACGCCATCCAAGACGCTCAAATATGCGAGGAATAATATCCATTTCGAAGTATAACACCGTAAATGTATGCTGTGAAAGGCAAAGGTCAGAGAATGATAATTGTGGTGCAATAGCATCTAAACTTGTGGTAGGAACATAGAAAATCGCGGAAGCCACAACATGGGGTCATAAGCACTACTAGGGATGCAGGTAGACTATTTATACACTATTCAAGAATGAGACCATAATTTTAACGTTTGGTAGCGCTATTTTAGTGAGTTAGGGGGGGGGCTAGTTCCAAGTAAGTATTAAACTTGAAAATGATAGTTCTAACCTAAAAAAATCAGTATGGCATGATTTTTCTAGGCACTGTCGAACAAATAAAGGGCCATATGCGCACACGGGTATTGATTCACATTTTTAGTGTTCCCCTAAACCTTAGTATCTTAATAACTACAAGATTAATTGCTTTAAAACTTAGACAAGATGCTTTAAATACCTATAAAAGGCTAAATATACATTTTTATAATTTACTAATAAACAGTTGTTGAGATATTTAGTTACAAAATTCATAATTTTAGGTGTAAAATAGAGTTGGCGACTCGCTTAGGATGGCGACTCGCTTGTGAAATATGGAGTACACAGGTGAGCAGACCATCAGGGGTTAGCTCAGCAACAACAGTAGTAATTCATTGCTAATGCATTATCGTCAAGCTTGATGGGCGCCATCGTGGTGGCGGAGGTGGTGGAGTTGGTGCTGTTGTTGACGGAAGGTCGAAGGTCGGAAGTTGAAGATTTATTTGTGGGGGGGTCAGCCGAGGTTTTGGCGGTTGTGGAGCGGGTCACCTGAGGTTGGGGGAAAGGTCGGGCCACCTACGTTCTGCTGCACCCTGGAAAGGTACGGGGCAACTCGATTCCCCTCCTTGTTCTCATGGCCTCTACGTGCATGAATTCCAGTTTAGAATAATATTAAAATCCTGACATTAATCATTCACGGGACGCGACTAAATTAGAATAAGGCGCACCTTGCTGCCATCAACAAAAACATAACCTCAAAACCATTGCTCGACGTCGCCCCGAGTTACTCTGCAAACAGAAATCGTTCGCCGCGTCTTCTTCGGAGTGGTTATCTGATGTTCCATCAGTGGGGCAAACAACTGACATTTATCCCAACACCGCCCCTCAAGACGACGACGTCGCCTTGAATCACAGTATTCTGGAGCACGGACCATATCAAATGATTCTGCGATACTCGTGTCATATATCGATTCTAACGCTCCAGTATACAGGTGTTCCTGGTGACGTCAAACGCAGAGAGAGCCGCAACGGCCACATAGCAACCGGTCTACTGCGCGAAGAACGAACCTCACGATGGCGACTGCTGGAGGCGGAGGTGGAGGCGGGAATATTAAAGTCGTGGTTCGAGTGAGGCCTTTCAATGGAAGAGGTAAGTTTTCATCTTCTCCAAGCCATAACCCGCTGGGGTGTGGCTGCTGGTTCAACAGTCGGATTGGCATGGACGTTCCTTTGCTGACTTTCACCGCGCATAGAAATCGACAGGAACGCACGATGTATCGTGCAGATGAAAGGGAATCAGACGATCCTTGTTCAACCTGACGCTGACGACAAGCGTGCGGCCGGGAAAGGGGCTAAAGAGGCGAACCAGAAGACGTTTGCCTTCGATAAATCGTACTGGTCATTCGACAAGTCGGACTCGAACTATGCGGGACAGGATAACCTTCACGATGATCTTGGCCGACCATTGCTCGACAATGCTCTCCAGGGCTACAACAATTGTATTTTCGCCTATGGCCAGACTGGATCCGGAAAGTCATACTCCATGATGGGATATGGGAAGGAAGCTGGAGTGATACCCAAGATTTGCGCCGACATGTTTGAGCGGATAGACGTTGTGCAGAAGAACGACCCAAATGTGAAATGCACAGTCGAAGTCTCGTACCTCGAAATCTACAATGAACGGGTCCGCGACCTGCTCAACCCGTCCACGAAAGGAAACCTCAAGGTCCGTGAGCATCCATCAACTGGGCCGTACGTGGAGGATTTGGCAAAGCTCGTCGTATCTAGCTTCAGCGAAATTGAGAATCTCATGGACGAGGGCAATAAGGCCAGAACCGTCGCCGCGACGAACATGAACGAGACGAGTAGTCGAAGTCACGCTGTTTTCACGTTGACCCTCACTCAAAAGCGACATGACGTTGGGATGAAAATGTCGACGGAAAAGGCAGCCAAGATCAGCTTGGTAGATCTAGCTGGCTCCGAGCGCGCAAACTCCACGGGAGCAACAGGCGCGAGACTGAAGGAAGGTGCGGAGATCAACAGGTCCCTTTCCACCCTGGGAAGAGTTATCTCTGCTCTCGCAGACTTGTCCAGCGGCAAGAAGAAGAAGGGCCCGGCTTCCTCTCAAGTTCCGTACAGAGACAGTGTCTTGACGTGGCTGTTAAAAGACTCGCTGGGAGGTAATAGCATGACGGCCATGATTGCTGCGATCAGTCCGGCAGATATCAATTTTGATGAGACTCTCAGTACGCTGAGATATGCCGATAGCGCCAAGAGGATCAAGAACCACGCGGTTGTGAACGAGGATGCGAATGCCAGGATGATCCGAGAACTGAGAGAAGAGCTTGCTACACTAAGGGGCAAGCTTGTTGGTGGAGGATCGGGCGTGCCCAGTGAAGACCAGTACGCCGAGGGAACTCCATTGGAAAAACAAATTGTCAGCATCATACAGCCAGATGGTACTATAAAGAGAGTTTCAAAGGCGGAGATTACTGAACAGCTGAGCCAGAGCGAGAAGCTCTACTCGGACCTCAACCAGACTTGGGAAGAGAAACTGCAGAAAACAGAGGAGATCCACAAAGAGAGAGAAGCTGCGCTCGAAGAATTGGGAATCAGCATCGAGAAAGGATTTGTTGGGCTGCATACACCAAAGAAGATGCCTCATATCGTTAATCTCTCGGACGACCCTCTACTCACAGAGTGCCTAATTTATAACCTCAAGCCGGGAATGACTACCGTAGGAAATGTGGCAACAAATGCTCCAACGACTTCTGAAATCCGATTGAATGGAAGCAGAATCATGCATGAGCATTGTGCGTTCGAGAATGTCGACGGAATTGTCACAATCGTGCCGAGAGAGGGTGCGGCAGTCATGGTGAACGGAAAGCGAATCACCGAGCCACAAAGGCTGAGAAGTGGTTATCGAATTATTCTTGGCGACTTTCATATTTTCCGATTCAATCATCCCATGGAGGCGAGAGCGGAGAGGGCAGAGCGAACAGAGAAGAGCTTGCTGAGACACTCTGTAACGGTCAGCCAGCTTCAGGGCATTGAGAACTTCTCGTCATCTCCGAGTCCAAGACCCGAACACCAGCGGAATTATAGCAAGGCTGACTCGGACCTTGATTGGGATGGCAGCAGGCCTGATTCTCCCATGCCTCTGTGGGGCCGAGATTCTGACTGGTCGTTTGCGCGGAGGGAGGCTGCGGGAGCTATACTTGGGCCCGACCAGAAAATCGCAGGCTTGACGGACGAGGAGCTTAATGTTTTGTTTGAGGATGTGCAGCGTGCTCGCGCAGAGCGCCAGAACCGCGACGCCGACGACGACCTGGAGTCGACAACATCGTACCCAATTAGAGAAAAGTACCTGTCCAATGGCACCATCGATAACTTCTCTCTCGACACTGCCATAACCATGCCGTCCACCCCGAGACAAGGCGAAGTAGAAGACAAACTACAAGTCCTGCGCGAGGAGATGCAAGGTCAGCTTGAAAAGCAAAAGGCAGACTACCAAGAGCAATTGAAGGCCGCCCAGGCTGACAATGTCGAGGTCGAGGAGATAAAGAAGGAGAAGGAAAGGATGGAAGAAAGCCTCAGGGAGGTTAAGGAGGAGATGATGAAGCAGCTTGTAGTCCAGAGACAAGAGTTTGAACAACGCATCCAAGAGCTTTCGCCGGCATTGCCAGAGGCGGATACGTTTGATGATCTGAACGAGGAGGAGATTGAAATTGCTCGGAAGGCAACGGAGCACTGGCGAAAGCGACGATATATCCGGATGGCCGAATTTATTCTTCAATCTGCTGCGATTTTGAAAGAGGCGCAGGCGCTGAGCCAGGAGATGGACGAGAGTGTCGTCTTTCAGTTTGTGATTCTGGATACCGGCCATGCTCTCTGCTCATCGTACGACATGGTTCTGATCGGAATCCCTGGGGAAGGTGATGATTCTGCCCTCGAGGACGCACAAAGGCCATGCGTGGCGGTGAGAGTTCTCGATTATAAATCTGGCGTCGCCCACCACTGGAGCCTGGAGAAGCTAAAGGAGAGAGTCAAAGTCATGCGACAACTCCACCAATATATGGACAGGCCAGAGTATATGCAGCATTTCAAGCTCGAAAACCCGTTTGTCGAGACCTGCATGCCTCGATACACACTTGTCGGCGACGTTAGCGTTCCGTTGGCAGCAGTCTTTGAAAGCCGCGTCCAGGACTTTACCCTCGACGTCAGGTCGCCTTATACGTCAGACTCCATTGGTCTGGTCAAGCTTTCCCTTGAACCCTCGTCAGCCAGGGTTCCTACGAATGCTTTAAAGTTCAACGTCGTCATGCATGAATTGATTGGATTCCCGGAAGACGAGGGCACAGAAGTACATGCTCAGTTGTTTATCCCTGGAATATCCGAAGAGGGTGGCGCCACAACCACCGCGATGATTAATGGCTTCGAAGAGGGGTCAGTCAGGTTTGACAGTGTTCACAGCATGGGCATTCCTCTGTTCGGCCCCAAGACTATATCCTTGAGCGTTTCCATATTCTCAAAGGTATCATCGATGCATCTTGACAAGCTACTCAGCTGGGATGATCTCCGAGACCACGTTTCAACCCAGCAGCAACAGCGAACGGCTCGGATTGCTGAAAGCCATTTTTATGCAGAAGAAAAACACGACGTGTTTGCTCGGGTTCAATTGCTCGAATTATCGGAAAATGGCGACTATCTCCCGGTCGAGGTCTTACAAGCTAACGATATGGATAAGGGGACGTTTCAATTACATCAGGGACTACAGCGACGGATTGTTGTGAATTTAACACACAGCTGTGGATCGTCTCTTCCATGGAAAGACAGCTCCAGACTTCGCATTGGTGGCATCCAATTACTCGACCACCTCGGAAAGGTTATTGATATGAACTCGTCGACGCCAGAGATTGAATTAAAAGTTGTCATGGATCCAATTATGAGGGCGAATTCCAACGGAACCATGAGCGTCGCTCTGGTTGGGCAATGGGACTCGAGCCTGCACAACTCACTACTCCTTGACCGAATGACGGCCGACAAATACAAGGTGCAGATGAAGATTCTTTGGGATGTGACGTCCGACAGCCTTGGGGAGCCGATGACATTTTCGTTGAACGTCGCCTCACAAGTTTTATCGCGCTCATACGTCCGCAACCAGTCCATGTTTGCTGCCTTGTGGCAGTGCGCTCGCATTGTCCATTCGACATCTGCCATTTTCTCGATATGCATACGGCCTATGCCGGTTAAGAAGGTTGGAGATCTGTGGCGAATGAACACCCAGCACGACTATGTCAAGGGCGAGGAGAACCTCACTGGCTGGACACCGAGAGGAGTATCCCTTGTCCACGACTTCATAAATTCGAAGAGACGGCGAGAGCGCTCAGCTGAGATCGAAGCAGCAAAGGCGTTTTATAGCGCTGAGGAGTTGAAGGTTGAGAAGAAGGCCGACGAGGAGGAGGGAGCCCCGCCGAACGAGGAGCTCATTCGCAAGGTTTTGAGTCTCTGGACGATCTCGACTGGACCGATCGAGAACCTATTGCGAAACGCAAACATCGAACCTCCAACTGATGGACCTGTTGAACCAAATCCCGACAGTGCCATCCGTTTGACGGCGAGCGTGGCTCTAATTCAGAGATCGGCTCAGATTCTCAAAGGGGGATACCTACTCGTGCCATCGCTTGACAGCAGCAAATGGGTACGACGCTTTGTGGAACTGCGGAGGCCATATCTCCACATCCACTCCATACCCGAGGGAGAGGAAATGGGCATCGTGAACTTGCGCAACAGTCGCGTAGACCACCAGCCGCAAATCGCGAAGCTTCTACGCCAGGACGGCAAGGGGAGGGACAGGAAGGAGATGGTATTCGCGATCTACGGCACCGATAACACATGGCTCTTCGCAGCGAGGAGCGAACGCGAGAAGGTCGACTGGATTTTCAAGGTCGATCAGGCCTACTTCGGGAGCGGTAATGGGAGCGCCGACGAGGATGTCGACGCGGAATCGTGAATTTGCCTATGACGATAACGAGGGACGCATTAGATAGTTTGATTCGAGACGAGAAGCATGATACCCGATCTACTTAGAAGTAGTATATGTAGATATGATGTATAGTTAGGTTATAAATAAGGGCAAAAGATCTATATACCCTGCAAAAGCCCTGTAAAGATTGATATACCCTGTAAATTAAAATAAGATCTATATACCCTATTGCCGTGATACCCGTAGCCCCCAAACCCCCCGATGCGACCTCGCCGTCGCCACCTCGCCGTCACCAACTCCTCCACCGACCCCCTATCCAACGCCCTATCCTACCCCCTATTCACCCGCAACCCCCGCAACCCCCGTAAACCCCCGTAAACCCCGTACTGCCGTAGCCCCTATTGATGGGGACGACGGCAACGCCGAGAGTTGTGGCCAGGCTCCCCGCAAGTCGAGCATCGACTTCTTACGGGGTCGTGGATAAGGTGCGACAGCGAGGTCGAGGCGGTGAGCGGGCTTGGCGGAGGAAATCTATTAATAGTTAGCGTCTGGTATATCATTCTTTACAGGGCTTTTGCAGGGTATATAACGTGGTTTATCAGTACGTCGGACATATCAGTACCTCGGACACCTTTCCCGAATTTCCTACCCTCTAACTTCACAACGCGTTTTTTCCACCTTTTATTATGTCAGTGATTACCCAAGAAGCAAAAATCATTCTAGCTATCGAGGCTATCCGAACATCAAAAAATCTAAGTCGTCGGAAGGCTGCTTAAGCTCTATGAAGTACCTCATTCTACACTCTGCGACAGAATGAACGGCCGAACTACTGTCTACGAACACCGGCCTGCAATGATGAAATTAACTATACTAGAAGAGGAGGTGGTTATTCGGAATATACTTGATATGGATTCAAGAGGATTTGCACCCCGGCTTGCTGGTGTAGAAGATATGGCAAATTTTATACTCGAATCGCGTGGAGGGAGGCGCGTCGGGAAGCTCTGGGCCCACCGATTTGTACAACGACGTCCAGAATTAAAGACGTGTTTTAATCGCGTTTACGACTTCCAAAGGGCCTTGTGCGAAGATCCTGAACTAATTGGCGCGTGGTTTCGACTAGTGGAAAATATGAGGGCAAAATATGGTGTTTTGGACTGCGACTTCTATAACTTTGACGAAACTGGGTTTATGATGGGTGTGATTTGCCCTGCAATGGTTGTTACCCATGCAGATCGACTTGGCAGAGGTAAGGCAGTTCAGCCAGGGAATCGGGAATGGGCTACAGCGATTGCTTGTATCAACAGTGACGGCTGGAGTATTCCTCCATTTTTGGTAGTTAAAGGCAAGAATCATCTTGCAAATTGGTATACATACGGCGGCCTTCCACACAACTGGGTTGTTAAACCGACAAGCAATGGATGGACAAACAATGAGACGGGTCTAGAATGGTTGAAACACTTTGACAAACATACTGCTGTTCGTGCAAGGGGTCCATATCGAATGCTGGTGTTAGACGGGCACGAGAGTCATGAATCGGCCGAGTTCCAAGAGTACTGCAAGGCACACAACATTATAACTCTTGGACTACCTCCCCACTCGTCTCATTTAACTCAGCCACTTGATGTCGGGTGCTTTAGTGTGTTGAAGCGGGCATATGGTCGGCAGATTGAGACCTTCATTAAGGCTCATATCAACCACATTACCAAGGTCGAGTTCTTTCTCGCCTTTAGAGCAGCATATCTGGAATCCATGACAGCCCAAAACGCCCAGTCCGGGTTCCGCGGAGCTGGCTTAGTGCCTTTCGACCCGCAAGTAGTGCTTTCAAAGCTTGACGTGAGGTTACAGACTCCAACTCCCTCTAGACCCTCTACTGCCAACACCAACCCTTGGGTCTCCCAGACCCCTTCCAACCCAACTGAAGCTCTTTCACAAACAACCCTCGTTCGAAATCGAATTGCCCGTCACCAAGGAAGCTCGCCAACTCCACTCTTCGGGACAGTTATTGCATTGGCAAAGGGTACGGAGCAACTAGCACATGAGAACACCCTTCTGTCTGCTGAGGTACATACCTGTTACGACGGAACAAGAAGGCTGGCCAACTACAGGACAGGAAGGAGGGAGGTCGCATGAGACCGGCCCTGGTACCTGGAGGGGCAGCGGGGAATAGTAGTTCCGAAAGTATCACGTGACGGACTCGCAGGATGATGAGAAGAGTCCTAAGAGTCCAGGACTCCGAGGACTCGAGTGAGTTCCCAGGAGTCCACTAGGCACGTGATGGACTCGCAGGATGATGAGAAGAGTCCTAAGAGTCCAGGACTCCGAGGACTCGAGTGAGTTCCCAAGAGTCCACTAGGCACGACGCCACTATATAAGTAGATAGTATTTCCTTAGATAGGAGCTTCGTGCTCAACTCAATACAGTATTTGTTATATACTAGTAACGTGTTACTTGAAGCCTTTGTGTCTGATCCCCTGCCTCCTCTGATAAGTAAACCTTTACGCAAGAAGTCAGCGTTACAATACCCTTCGAGCAGACAACGAAGCCCTTAGCAAACGCCGCAGGGCTAAAAAGGCTCGTGTCCGTGAAGGAGGTGCACTTATAGTAGAGGATGCACAGGCTATTATCGCACAGAAGGATGTGGATGAGCAGGTACGACGCGACGTACGTGCAGTTGGGGGTAGTCGCAAGGAGGGGCAACCGTCTAGGCGATGCTGTGGGATCTGTGGAAAAGCTGGTCATAATGCGCGAACTTGTCAAGAAGCTATAGATATGTCTAGTTCATCTGATTCCGCTTAGTTATAGTTAATTTAATATGTTATGGTTGATTTATTGATATTCAAAGTAGAATGCCAATGAAAAGTGTCCGAGGTACTGATATGTCCGACGTACTGATAAACCATGTTAGATCTTTTGCCCTATAAATAAATACTTTGTTTTGTTAATTAATTAGAATTAGAGTATATCCCAGTGTTCGGCGGATCGTATCCAGATCTGATCCTGAGCCCTCACGGGTAAGATTATGATCCGTCTAAGGTCTGACGGATAGATACGGGTTATATCCGGATCTTCAGGATAATCAGGGTTAGCACAAATAATCATAATAATCATGACTATTCAAATAGTCAAATATTACGTAAGCATGATTATTCATAATCATGAATATTCATGATTATGATTAACTAGGCGTTCGTTGAATTGGTTGCTCTATTTACATGGAAACCATTATTCAAACTGATGCTTCTCATAATATTAATTATTTGGAAAAATGAATTAAGTAACCCTGTTTTGAAAGTATATGAATAAAATGACCCTGCCCGCCCCACACCCCCACCCTGCTGACGCCCGCCCGTCTGATCGCCCATCCTTCCGTGAAATGTGTAGATAAAGCTCATCGACTCAGGCGATGAGCTTCAATTGTGAGCCCGCCGACAGCTTCTGCTATAATGCCCAGGCTCACGACAGGTGCTGCAATGTACCTGTTGCCGTCGTACGGCCATTTCCCCTTGCCCAATCCTAGCCCCTCGCGATGCCCGGTATTGGTAGTGTGTGGTGGATTACACACATTACTAGCGACAGTGACGTGTGGGTGGTGGCGGTGATGGTTGGTTGTCACAGGGTGTGGGGCGGGCAGGGTCATTTTATTCATATACTTTCAAAACAGGGTTACTTAATTCATTTTCCCTAATTATTTTTGTGTAATTATTTTGTTCTCATATTATTCTCCCAACTTCAGTCCCAGTAGATTATAATACCCACCAAGTAAACTCCAAACCTTATCCGATTAAATATACCTTCACCCCCTTTACTTGCTGGCTGTCAACTCAGCCCATAAGTTCTCCACATCACGGCCTATAACATCCATAATCTCATCCTCATCACGCTTTGTGACAAATGTAGCAGCCTTCTCGCGCTCAAGCTCGACTGTCTAAGCGTCAGTATAGTCACTACACACACACATACAAGGCTAATTTTGACTTACCATGGACATAAACTGCGGCCTTCTTGCCCGAGAACATGGCGTGGGGGATGTTTGTGGCGTTGTCAGAATTGGCGTCCCCGACACAGAAAACCCCTGGGACATCAGTCCTCATGCTTCCGGCGTTGACGTTAACCTTCTCGCCGTAGTACTTGACGCCTAGCGGTTTTCCAATGTAAGAGCGCTGGACGTATGAGAAGTTTGTGATTAATGCGGAGCGGTTGAGAGAGCAGCCGTCCGCAAAATGGACACGGAACTCATCGTACTCTTTACGCTCTGAGACATCCTGAACAATAGCACCATCCTGCAGCCTCTCAATGCTAGTGATGGTGCGGTTGTCGAGCTTGACACCGTATCCCTTGAGCTGTTGCTGCCATCCCGGGCGCCTCTCATCGAGCGTCTTTACGTTTGCTTCCGTAAAACTGCCATTGACGAACGCAATTAAATCGCTGTTTAATGTCGCAACTTCCAGGACACTTCCAAGCACATCGAGGATAGATCCAAGGATACCAAAGGGCTGGTCTCGATGTTCGTAGCCTAGTAAGTGGAAACAGTAAATTAGACTTGATATGCCATTGGGGTAATGAAGAGCACTTACCATCGCACCAGGGGCACCAAAAAATGCCGCGTGACCAAGCCTCCTTAATGCCCGGGGTTTCAGGGAGAATGTCTCGGAGGCCAGTTGCGAGGATGATTTTCCGGCTAGTGTAGGTCTGCCCCAAGTTGTCGGTAGTGAGGAAGGACGAGCCATTGTTCTGGGAGACGATTGAGATAGCGGTCGTGAACTTAATATGGGCAGTATCATATCTAGATATCTGCTCACGGGCTAACCCCCTGAATTGTTCCGGAGCAGTGCCTGTGCATTAAATTAGACTTGATACTCCACTAGGGCAATGAGGGGCACATACCATCGTTGCCAATAATATCGTGCATATGGCGAGTCTCGCCGTTTCTATATTCGCCTCCATCGAGGAGGAGCGCAGTCCTCCGCACACGAGAGACACCACTCAGAGCACTCAGGCCCGAAGCCCCCCCGCCAACAATCAACACATCGAAGTCAGTCTCGATAATGCCTGGTGCACGAGGCAAAACCGAAGCCTGGCTAACAGCCGAGCACAGAGCAAGAGCAACAGCAGCGACTTTGAGAATCCCCATTGTGAGACGGTGAGATGATATAAAGGCGGTGGTATGCAATAGACAGGGAAATCTTCAACTGCCCAAGAAGAGCTCCGCGACAAATGTCCCACGGGGCGGGCTTTATATGTACAGGTCCTGTGCCCATCTCTTGCCTCGTTGCCCAATGTGAGACAACAGCCTGTCTCTTGCGGTGGCCCACCTAGATCTTCATCTCCCGCTTGTGAGACTTGAGCCAATCGCTCATTTTAAAAGCGTCTCAACGCGGCCCATTGCCAATGATAAGGGCAAAAGATCTATATACCCTGCACCACCCCTGGAAAGATCTATATATCCAACGCTAACTATCAATAGATTCTGCCGCATTTAGTCAGCATCGCTGGCCCCATGCCTCACTGTAGCCAACCATGTTTCCCACCTATAGGTCCCACAGCGGAGGCCAAAAAAGGAAAGGTTCTAGAAGGAGGACCCACGGAGGAGAGTTGGGGGGGAGAGGGAGCTTCTGGTGTTGGGCGCTGCTCTACTTGTGGGGAGCAGGGCCACAATATGAGAAGCTGCTGGTGCCTGCATGAGTAGGGCGCTTTCACGAGTATGGTGGGAGCAAGGTCAGTGGAGCAGCGGTGTCAAATGGGACATCAGGGTCAATGGAGTCACGGAGGAAACCGAAGGCGGCAGCAGGGTATATAAATCTTTTATTAAAGCTCAGGGTATATGAATCTTTACAGGGGTGGTGTAGGGTATATAGATCTTTTGCCCCAATATTAAGGTGCTCAGCTTCATCATGCACAGTCGATCTGCGGTGTTTCCCGTCACTAATTGCCCCACAGTAGAGGACGCGAGCTTTAGGGGCTTGGACTGCTTGTGCTTCCCCAGGTAAGGTAGTGGCTTGAGAAAATACCCCCAATATCCGAGTAAAGGTATAACGTAATTATTGTATGGGGTAGTTGACAAAAAGTTTATTCTACTCTAGTTGACCTAGTTCTACGTGCCACACACTCCTACAATTCCAATTCTGAGTCGCTTGAATCGTTCTCTACCTCTTCCTCTTCAACTTCCTCTTCGACTTCTTCAATTGGTCGTTTGCATGGCCTTCTACGTGGTCTTTTCTCAGTTGGCTTCAACTCTGCCTCTCGGACAATTTTCAACACTTCCTCAGTACTGAATACAAATTTGCCTTACAACTTAATTCTCTTGCCAGTAGTTCTTTTCTTCCGTGTCTCAAGTATCTCCTTGTACTCTTTCACCTCCTTCCGAAGGATGCTAAGTTCAGCATTCTGACCTTCAACCAGCCTAGTCATTCTCTTGGCATAACGTCGAGTTGGTGAAGCAGGAGAGCCACTGGTTGCCATATTTAAATTAAATACTGAATTTGCAAGCCTTACTTCAGTTCCATCTAGAGGAGAACTTCGGAATATTGAGAGATCCAGAGTAGTAATATTAGTTTAGTTTTGAGGAGTGCGAGGTGGTTCAGTTGGTCGAAGTGGAAGGTTGGTTGGTGTTACTAACGTGACGTCATGGTTACGGGGCTAGTGTTGGAGAAAACGGACATCCCTGTGGATTACGGTGGGCTTTTACGCCCAAGATGACAGGTTTTCTCCGGGAGATTGTCTAGCTCCTTGGTTAGCTCACGAGCCAAGCAGTAACGTTGTGAGGTCCGCCGCAAGTCTGGACTATACCGCAACACTAAAAATGTGAATCCACACCCGTGCGCGCGTATAGCCATTTATTTACTCAACAACGTTGTGAGGCAATTTCATACTTAGCATTAGTCAGCACATCACGTGCTAGGAGAGGCCATTCTTATGGCCGGTCTTCGGGACACATAGAATCACAATATCATCATAATCGCCTCATGAATAACAGCCCCTTGCAATAATCGTGACAATTTGGGGGTCTTGCCCGAGACCAAGGCAGGCGCAAAAGTTACGAGGCAGAAGAGTTGAGCAGAATCGGCGCCAGAGAAGTGCAGTGTGAGGAACGGTGCAGTGTGCATCAGAAAGCAGTGAGAAACAGCAGTCACAGGGTCAGCAATCGCAGTGAGCGGTAGAAGATCAAGTCAAAAACGGTGCAGGAAGCAAGAACCAGCAAGGGAAAAGACATTGAGCCAGAGACAGAGCAGCGTTGCGGACTATGCATTCATGCACGCCAATTGTCCATCATTCACATATTGATTGCGAGGTGCCAACCAGTATGGCAAGTGCTCCAAGCAGTCAGGAGCGCTTACCTCAAGGCGTCCGAAAAGGGCAGAGTGAGCCAATTCGGAGAATGGTGATTGGTGGTTGGTACAAGCGAGCCAATCGAGACTTGAGAATTGTCAGCAGAACCAGACTGAGAAGGCACCACCTGATGTTGGAGCAGCCAACGGAAAAAGGAAGCGTGTTTACTCGAGAAGACTTAACAAGATCATCATCAGAGTCAGATGCAAGCTTTCAGAAGATAGGCAAACAAACCAAACGTTACGGCAAGTCTTCAGGAAGAAAAGTTACAAAACACAATCAAGCAGTCGAAAGAATCATTGAGTGCATGATTCCGAGAGTACTGCAAGTTGTCGAGAGAGGAATTCAACTGCTTGTGGCTAGTCTTCAGAGCCAGCAAGTAATTCAGTGCAAGTGTAGCAAGCGGCCAGAGACAAGAGAGTTTGTACCAGCCTCAGACATTAGAGCTCTCTCGGAGTCTGGCGAAAGCGACACAAGCACCTTAATGGACAGTGAACCAACGGCACCTCAAGTCCCAGTGCCAGAAACACCCATCAGTTTACACATTACCGAGAAAGATCCCCGTCTCCGGAGTCAGTTTCAGAGTTTAATCCTGAGCCGGAAATCAGTCAACTGTCATTCCCAGAAGCGTTTCCGGAATTCTTCAACATGTCCGCGTACCCAAGCGGAGGACCTGCCACAAGGGCACCAGGCGATCGTCAAGCTTTCCTTGAGGAAGCTCGAAGGATTAACAGACGAGACCTAACGGTGGAAAAGTTTACAAATGCCCCCGCCCAAGACATCCAGGCGTTTGTCGATTCCATCTCATGGAAGCATGGGATCACCAGAGCTGAGTGGGACAACATGTACACAGACAGCCAGAACGAGTTGGATGAGATGCTTCTGTTGTATCTATACCAGAAGCTGGACGGTGAGCCTGCGCGCTGGTGGGCAACATTGACGAAGGATGCCAAGATCAATTACAAGAAAGTCACGACCATGTTGGTGGCACGGTACGGCAAAGATGAGGCTCGTCAGAAGAAGAATTTGCGACACAGAGTAGCAAATGAGTTGAATGGCCTTCGTCAAGGAAATCGGAGTTTGGGCGAGTACATCGCATACGCCAAAGACTTGCATTTACGTGTCACTCCTGAGCAAGAAACCATTCTCATCGATAACTTCATTAACAACCTTGCTGACGAAGGATTCGCTGACATGCTCCGTGGCTGGTACTCCCAGGAGGAGATGGATTTCCTCCAAGTTATTGATATGGCTATCAATATGAAGGGTCCTCGATATGTCGAAACAAAGCCAGCACATGAGGATACGGCTGAAGACTCGCGCAATGCCAACCGATTGCTACGCAGCCTTGCGAGTGCAGTTGAAAGAAATGCCACAGGGTCTTCGAACTCTTATGGACAGTCTTCCTACGGCCAACCGTTTCAGAGATCCCCTTCCCGAGGAGGTCGCAATAGGTCCGCACCGCGTGGTGGATACCAGCCTCCCCAAACCGAGTATCAGGAGCACCAACCATATGGCCGTGTGCGTCAGCCCCAGCCAGAGTTTCCGCCCACTCAATTGTCTCAATCACAGTTTCAAGTTGTTCACTACGAAACACAAGGGCAGTCCACTGGAATGAATAATTCTGCTCGAGGAAATCACCAACCGAGAGGCGCCTCTTCCTCAGGTCGGAACCAGAATGCTTCGCACCATCCGCAGGGCCCAGAGCAATGGCCGCGATCTCGTCAAGGGGGATATCAAGGAGCACCACAGTCACAGCCACAGTCAAATACCAAGTCTTCAATTCAGTGTTTCAATTGTGCTAGGTACGGCCATTATTCCACTGATTGTACATATGCTCGTGCCACGTTTGAGGAACGGCAATCTGCAAGAGATCAAGCATCCACCGCGCGCCCAGCTCCAACTCCGGGCAGCTCTGACGGATACCGCGCAAACAATATGCAGCCAAGACCTATGGATGCTCCCCCATACGGAGGTCGAACAGCTGGAAACGTCGCCCCAGTATCCGCCCTTACATGGGAGGATTATGACACCCGCAATGTCAACGGGGTATCTCTCATGGGCAATCGGTGGGATGATCGTGATTATGACCCAAGCTGGTATGGCCAAGAAAGTGACTTCTCTGGGCCCGGACAGCTGTCGTTTTCAGGAAGTGTGCATGTGTTTCGCGAATCAGAGAATCAACATGAGGCGAATGCTGCCCCTGCCGAAGTTGCTATGGCAGAAAAGCGCAAGGCCCCGCGCGCTCCTCATGATGCCCGACGTCCTGAATCTGCGCAAGTTCCTCTTGTGCCAGGCGTTCAATGGAAGCCCCGATCTAAGAAAGGAACAGGAATCGAAACTCTTGTAGGTGCTCGACCAATCCGGGCGATTGGTGAAGAACCACCGTACAATGTGTGGAAGGATCTCCACGAGCGCAGGCCACAACCCGATATATCATACCCCCAGCTCATAAATGTGTCCTCAACGATTCGTGCTCAGATCGCATATGGCACGACCATGCAACAGTTGAAGAGCAGTCACAGACACAACGAGGGGACGGTCGGCCACCACCTCCAACTGTGTCTGATGAAGTGGATGGTCTCGAGAGACCTCTCGCGAAGATGCGTGCGCGTCGCATCCAAGATGGTGTTCTTGTGCACAGTGCGAGTGAAATCAAGGCGCGCGATCAACCTCGCCAGAATGCCAACTGGTTGCGATTTGATCAAGGACCTCCTCCTCCATGTTTTTATACAGCCTGCCGAGTCCGTTCCATTGAACAAGACAACGAAGACTTCGAAATTTCACAAGTGTTGTTAGATGGCGGATCTTCCATTGAACTTATCAACGCCAAAGTTGCAGAGCAGCTAGATTCACCATGGCATCAGGACACCACGGGTTTGCGCATGCGAACAGCAGATGGAGCTGTACATGCATTAACGCAATACGTTTTACTTCCTGTTAAGGTTGCTGGCATTGAATGGATTCTCAAATTCTTCATTGTTTATGGCACCACGAGTTACAACATGCTCCTCGGCAGAGGCTGGCTTCACCAAGTAGGAGCCATAGGTGACTATTCCACCAACGACTACTACATTTTTGACTCTGCCAAACGCCCCCGCAAAGTTCCTAAAGTTGTCGACGTTCAACTGCCAGTGTCACTTCGAGTTCACCTTGATGATCAACACTTGGGTCATTACCGAAACTCGGGAGGAGAACCTGAACACTCGCTCAAGTACCCACTAGATGCTTCCATTCCTCTCGAAGCATTCACCACGGCGCCAACCCTTCTACAACCTGCTTCACTTGACAGTGATGATGAGGACGACGATGCACGGATGACAGAACTCGCAGAACGATTTGCGAAAACTGCATTGTTAGAATCCACTCATCCTGAGTACGAACAGGAAGATCCGCGCATTGCACAATTTCTCGCTGCGCTCAAGCAGTCGGGAAATGGGGACGGGGACAGGTACCCGGAGAACCTGGTTCCCATCTAAAACACATCCGGAATGGGCATAATATGGGCCATGGTGATGGATGTGCGCGCATGTCGCGATGCCGGGACCGAGCGGGGGAAGTGGGGGAGATCAGGGGTGAAGATGGGGAAGGATTTTCGGAGGTATGGCCAGTGGATAAGAAGGGCGTGAAATTACATCGTCGGTGAGTGCAAGCTCGTATGAGTGCTGGAGAACATTTTCATCGCCAGACATTGCAGGCTTACCAACGAGAGGAAGAGCAGCTTCAGGACCCTCATACACAGTGTAAGGATGCCTCCGTACCTAGATACTCGAAGAACCTGTCTCAGAACTGTTACGGTCACTACAAGCATGGAATCCGACTCGGTGGGGTTTCGAACCAGTAGAGGATCATATAGCGAGTTACACTATAGTGGGGGACGGTAAGTGTATAGGGTTCAGGGCCGATGTAGACCTGTTGCGGTGGAAGGTTCAGGGCTAGGGCTGGGATAACTGAGTCGGGCCCGTTTCGGGAGTTAAGGAAACAGACTCAACGGGGTTCCCCCTTCATCTTTTTTGTATCCTTCGTAGTAGACCTATAGGATAGCATCCGTTTAGCCTCCGACTCGCACTCTCATATGCTATTACTGTGAGCTGGGTGCCCTGTGTCCTTACATTATACAAAAAAGATCACGCCTGCCGGGGACGGCCGTACTTAAATAATATCCCACAACGGAACGACTCAGGAGAACTACTGTTGCACCATCGACTGCGACTCGGTGATGTTTCGGAGTAGAGACCTGACGACTTCAAATAGCCGTGATTCCAGAGATCTCACGGACAGCCAGTGGATCAGGGTTTGATTCTTCAGAACAAGCTGGTAAAGTCGCCGACGCGTTGGCGCCAAATAGGATACGAGATCCTTAAGAACCCCCTCATAGCACAGAGGAAATTGTGGACAAGAGCGTTGATAGCTACGAGCTACCGGAAGTCAAGCTCTTTCGTAATGGTACTGATACACACCTGAGGCAATATGTCAAGAAAGCCGACATCAAACATACCCCAAGACAACGACGGTCAACTGCCCAGAATGACTACCAGACAAACCACCGCTGCAGCTACGACGTCTGTGCCATCCGAAGACATCCCGAATCGAATGGCCCACCTAGAAGCACAGATACAGGAGGTCAAGGATCTACTAGTTATCCTGTCGGCATCCCAGACCAGAATCCCGTCCACACCGCCGGTGGACGGCCCCATACCCACAGTCGAAGTTACGGAGCAACGAACGCCTCGTACACGAAACACACCCGAGACGGTTCAATTGCCGCCTCTTCGGAACACTCGTTCTCCCTCGATTCCAGGGTCATCACGAATGCACACCGAGAACCCTCCGAATCGCTATAAGAAATCAACCATCTCTGAAAAAATCCTTCCTCTCAGCGATGGGGTAGAACATACCTTCTTACAATGGAGCGCTTCGATTCGGGACCGACTCGTAGTTAATGAGGATCACTATCTTACTGACGTCTCGAGAAGAGCGTTGATATGGGGAACTACGACCGGCCTGGCGAAGACCTACCTAGAGCCCCAATACCTGTCCGCTACGCATGGGTTCCGCAGTGCTGACGAGATGATGGATCTACTAGGTTCATACTACCTCACAGGCAACGAGACGGAACAGGCCAGGAACCTCTTCGACGACCTGCAAATGGGAGAGAAAGGGCATGCTAGCGAAACCTTCCCAGAGTTCAAGGCTCGTTTCCAAAGTGCAGCTATCACAGGACAAGTCTCCGAGTCGGAATGGTTTCGGTACATGTGGAACAAGTTGACTCCTCAATTCCGCAGCCGCGTTGCGATCATCAAAAACCAATGGAAGGGAGAATACCAGACCATGGTACGAGAACTTACCGCCTTCGACCAGGAACGGCGCCGGAACAACGAATTGAATCCGCTACCCGCTCTCGCAAGGACGTCCACACGTACCACGGATACGGCAAAGGCGTCATCAGCGTCGAAGCCGACTCGAGCCACATCCACTCTGTTCACCCGAACTGCGTTCCTCCCCAAGCCAGCCATACCGGAACGTCCGAGAACTGCAGTCCCTGCGCCCTCAGGAAACTGTTTCAAGTGTGGCAAACCCGGCCATTTCCAGGACAAATGCCCCCTTAACGCTACTATCAAGGAAATGGACCGTAACGGCCCCGAGGCAGCAGAACAATGGGAAGAAGCCGTGGAACTTCAATCGGATGCGTCCCTCGAGGAAAACGACGAGGCCTAGGAGAAGGCTCCTTCCTAGGTCTACGCAAATGTGACCTGCGAGGACTAGACTTACGAGAACTCCTGGGAGGCACCCAGTTCTTAGTCGACACGACCCTGAGTATGAATGGACTCGGTGTGCAAACAAAGTCCCTAGCAGACACAGGAGCAAACAGCTACCTCGTCATTAACAAGCCTTTCGCAATATGACTGTCGAAAGCGCTTCAGAGCCCTATACGGAAACTACCCTACTCTGTACCCATACGTGGATTTCAGCGCAAAATCCAAGGCCATGTATCGGAGTATATTCGGTTACACTTAACAGTCGAAGGACGCTGAATATATAACTGCCCCTTTGTACTCCTGGACCTCGGAGCACAAGATGTGATAATTGGGAAGAAGCTTTTCAGCCGCTTCCGAATACTACTCGACTCTGCAAAGAGCCGGTTAGTATGGCCAAAGGAGTACCCGCCGACTCCTAGCTGGAGCAAGGAGATCACCTTGCCCTACCACTCACGCGAAACGTCCATTAAACATCCTGCATACCACTCGGATGCGAATCGCCGGGATTTCGCAATCCACCGCGAAGACAGACGCCGCGCAGGCGGACGTTCAATGGAAATGAAAGTGATAACTTCCGACTACGAAGAGATCACCGATACGCCATCGAACCCACCACGAAACCAGGAGGTTTCTCCCCCACTGCAGAAAACCCTAATACATAGGTTTACGCCCATGCATATATGCGAAATCAGTGCAAATGCTTTCCACCACGAGATGATGCGAAACGACTCCGAGTTTTTTCAAACTAGCATCTATGAAATCGATCAGATCATTCATGAAAAGGAGTTGGTAGAGGACGAAGAAACGCTCCGCCTCATCCAGCAGAAGCTTCCGCATATGCACCGGAGGTACACCGATGTCTTTTCGAAGTTGGAATCGGATTGAATCCCCCCCCACCGCATATATGACCACAAGTTACAGCTCGAAGCCCCTTTACCAAATGCTTTCTCCCCGTTATATCGACAGGGCACTGAAGAGCTTAAGGCTACCAAGCAATACCTGCTGGAAAACCTGGAAAAGGGATTCATCGTCAACAGCAACAGCCCCTTTGCATCCCCTATCCTATTCGTAAAGAAATCGGATGGCAAATTAAGATTTTGCATTGATTACCGGAAGTTAAATGGTCTCACCCGGAACAATCCCTACCCCATCCCGCGTATCGATGAACTACTAGGACGGGTGTCAAAAGCAAAAATCTTCACGAAGCTAGATATCAGACAAGCCTTCCATCGTATACGGATGCACCCCGACTCAGAAGAGTACACGACCTTTCGGACTCGCTATGGATCCTATAAGTGCAAAGTGCTGCCATTTGGACTGACGAACGGTCCCGCAACCTATCAGCGGTATATGAATGACGTCCTGATGCAATACTTAGACGACTTCTGTACCGCGTACTTAGACGACATCCTAATCTATTCAGAGGACCCTACGGAACACATAGACCATGTGCATAAGGTCCTACAGCGTCTCCGAGAAGCTGGACTCCAAGCTGATTTGAACAAATGCGAGTTCAATGTCACCGGGACAAAATACTTGGGTTATGTTCTCACTACCTCCGGTGTCGAAGCGGACCCTGACAAAATCGAACCCCTTCGTAACTGGATCCGACCGACCACTGTTACGGGTGTGAAGTCCTACCTAGGATTCTGTGGCTTCTATAGACAATTCATTCGTAATTTCAGCAAAATAGCAAAGCCCCTCACCACCATCACTAGTCCCTCGGAGCCGTTCCGGTGGACAGACGAATGTGAGGATGCGTTCGAGGAATTGCGACAACAACTTTTAGCGGTACAGGCACTTCACCACTTCAACCCCGAATTGCCTACGAAGCTGGAGACCGACTCCTCTGATGGAGTGGTAGCTGGTGTCCTGTCTCAAGAACACCCTGACAAGTGATGGTACCCAGTAAGCTTCTACAGTCATGTCCTATCCGGACATGAGATCAACTGGGAGATCCACGACAAGGAACTATTCGCAATCGTGAAAGCCTTTGGAAAATGGAGGCCCGAGTTGGCTTCGGTACGCCACCGAGTTGACGTCTACACTGATCACCGTTCGTTGGAATATTTCATGTCTACCAAGATTCTCACAGCGAAACAGGTTCGGTGGATGGAGCTACTCTCCGACTTCAATTTCTGCATCACGTACACCGCAGGCAAGAATAATCAGAAGGCTGATATTCTGAGCCGAAGAGACCAAGACCTGGTAACGCAGCAGAAAGTCAAACTTGATAGTAGGGCGAGGGTATTGTTAGGTCCAAGCCGCCTACACCCCCGAATCAGCACCGAACTCGCCGAGAGCTACATAGCATCCATTAATTCGATGGACACCGCCAAGCCCCAGGTGCCCTTCAATTTAATAGAAGCGCTATGTGCGGACAATCGGAAGTCATTCACTGAGACTCGCGCGAAACAACCCCTACCGGACGGATTCGCGATGAACGACCAGCTCCTCCTATACAAAGGCCGCCTATGTGTGAATCGCCACACTGACCTATGTACGAAACTGATCCGGGAAGCGCACGATCAAGTGTCGTCAGCACACCCAAGTGGCAGGAAAACCTACCAATTGCTCGCCCCAAAGTATCATTGGGTCGGGATGGAAGCGGACTGTTTGCGGTATGTACGAAACTGCGTGAAATGCCGGCTTTCTCACACCAATGTCACTAAGCAACAAGGATTTCTACACCCACTACCCGTACCCGAGTACCCTATGCAACACCTCACCATGGACTTCAAGGAGTTCCCAAGGGACAAGCATGGATACGATAGCATCTTAGTGTTTATGGACCGACTCGGAAAGAGTTC